CACCCCACCCTCCAGCCCCAGCACCTAGCCCGCTGCCCGGCACAGAGCCAGCACTTGGAAAGAATGGAATGAACAGCACTTTGGGCTACTTTGGGGGAGTCACTTCTCCCTCTCTGATCCTCAGTTTCTTTGGCTGTGAAACTGGGAAGTTGGTCTTAGATGTCTGCAGGTCAAAGTATCTCTGATCAGCATCATGGGCCTCACTTGGAAACTTATAAGAAATTCATAATCTCAGGCCCCCTCTAGACTCACAAAAATCAGAACCAGCCTTTGAGTAAGATCCCGATGGTGCAAATGCACATTCGAGTGGAAAATGTGCAGTCAAGACGGAGGGACGCACTTGACTTGGCTGAACAGAACTGCCTGGGGCGCTATTACTGCTGGTCCCAGACCTAGGAATTCTGACCTAATGGGTCCGGCCTAGCCCTGGCATTCGCTCACGCACCCCGGGTGACTCCGAGGTGGAGAAGCACTGGTCCGGAGGGTGGCGAAAGCAGATTCCTCCAACTCTGACCTGCACATTCTGACTTAGTGGGTACAGGTGGCCCGATCCTAACCAGCTCCCAGGCGGTGGGTCCCTCTGCTAGGCTGAGCCCAGGATCCTTCCAGCTCTAACATTTCCCCATCCTCTCTCTATCTCCCTTTCGTGACCAGGATTCACTCCATCTCACTCCATCCCCCTTGCTATCTGTAGATAACAACACTGATTTCACAAGGCGACCGATCACCTAAGAAGTAAAAATATACAGATGTCCAGGCCCCCCTCCCCAAGATTCTCATCTAATTGGTTAGGGGCAGAGCCCAGGCATTGCTAAGTAAAAAACAAGACAGACCACCACCACCCCTTGGGCTTCTAACATGCAGCCAAGATGGAAACGCTACACAGAGTGTGTCCACAGTAACTCCTCGATGGAGGAGACCTAGGCCGTCACAGGAGACAGCACTGACCAGTCCAGAGCGGCAAGACAACTAGCCCTTCTCTGTACTCGTGTGTCTCTGTCCCCAGACTGCGCTGGTTTTATGTTCTGCAGACTGGCCGGTCGCAGGCCTTGCTCTAAGACACCCTACCCGGGATTTCATCAGCCCACCCCGTCCCCTCGCTGGGCCAAGCCAAGAGGATGGCTCAGCAGCCCCCAGACATTCCAGCAGTGTGGTTCTTGGGCTGGCTGTTGTCTCAGGACAACCGGTAGCCTTCTCCCAGCAGCTCCCCCACGTTACTGACTGAGCCCTTAGGTATAAAAGGACAGAACAAAACTCAAAGTAGGGTACCAAGGCAGGAGAGCGGGCATCCCATCCACTCATGTCCAAGGCGCAGCAGCCTCTGGCTGCCGGGAAGCCGGGCTCACCAACCCGCTGGGCAAAGCTGACCCCCGACCAGGAAGGCTGTGTGCTCTCTTGGTGTTCTTCCAGGAACCAGTGTCCCGGGCAGAAGGGAGGCTGGTGAGCACCGTCGCAGAACTCGCAGAAGGGCAGACCAGGGCACCGGCTAGAGAAACGAGACCCACTGACGCAAGCAGCAACCGTGACGGACACTCCGCACTCCCGGCTAACACACAGCACGTACTCTGCAGGCACCCGCAGCACTGAGAACGGGACTGTGCTCCCCCGGGGCACAGCCCCAAAGACCCTGGGCCCATCAAGGGCTATGGCTTCATGTTCCTCAGACGGCTATGGGGAGGGGCCGGAGGGGGACAGAAGCACAGGTTCCGAGGCCTTGACCAATGTCACTGCTCCTCAGCTCTGTAGGGAAAACTGGAGCTGCCTGCCTGCCACCTCTGGACGTACCTACCGTTCCTGCTCTCTCCTAAGCCCCGCACCTGGACACCGGGTCCCCACTCACTTTTCAGCCTTGCTCCCGGTCAGTGACCCTCCCCCTCGCCCTGATCCTTTCATCTCTCCCCCCTCCACTCCCTTTGACTTATAAACGTGCTCAGGTCTCCCTCTTCCTAAAACAAAACAGCATCCCTCTCCACCTTGGTCTCCTCCTCAAGCTACCCCTGCATCTCTGTCCTGGTCTCCAGCCATCAAACATCCTCACCTGTGCTACACCCCCACTCAACCTCTCACCCTGC